CCAGGAGGACAGCAAGGAGTGGGACAAAAAGGACACAGGCTAGAAGGACAGGGGTTTGCATGAGCTCAGAAGGGCAAGGCCAGAGAGAGACCTGTTTCCAGACCCAGCCTGAGATGCAGAACAGATGCCAGCCTATATGACTCTCTAGATTCGCAAGCAGAATGGGAGGGGATGATGGGGCCACAGGAGAAGTACAGTTTCTACGGCAGGAGAAAGCTGTACAGCAGCTGGGGAGCGGGCCAGGAGTAAGTTTTTGGCCCTCACTCTGCTGCTTAGAGGATTTCCTCCCTGGCTTGGGTTTTGTGAAAGGCCCCCTTCTTCCCCTTATTCAAGCCCCAGTTTTCCAAGGCCATTCGATTTAAAAACATGCCCAGCTAACAAGCTGCCAACTGATGCTGTTAGAAACAAGGGAGCAGGGCTGGCAGCTGGGGAACTCAGGAAGACAAAAAGGGATGTAGATCAGTGCACAACGCCAGGCAGCAGCCCAGCACTCCTCCCGATCAGAGCCAAGGGGGACTGACACCCAGAAGCCAGAGCTCAAAGTCAAGGCTCCTGCTTAACTGTACGCTAGCACAATGGCCCTGGTGCAGGCAGAAGAAAGAGGCAGATAAATGTTTGTCCACTCTCCCTTCCCCCTGCCCCAGGCCGAAAACCGTACTCACAATTCGTTGGTGCAGTTGCTGGGCTTGTCCATCCGATGGCCTTCTTTCAACAGCTTGAAGAGCTCCTCGACAGGCACCCCAGGGTATGGTGAGCCGCCGAGCGTAAAGATCTCCCACAGCAGCACCCCAAAGGACCACCTGACCCATAACACAAAGGCTCAGTGTTGCACTGGCATAGCTCTTGCCACAGCACCTCAGTCCCACCCATCTGCCTGATGCATGGTCCTGTGGGTAGCTGGGAGCATGGGGAGTGGCACCACTGCCTTTCATTAGCCAGCTACAGCATCAGCGAGGGTGCCCGTGGGCAGAACAAGAGCTCGGTCCAGCAGTGCCAGCTGCTCCTGGGCACTCAGAGATCTGGGGCTCTCCTCTGCTGCTGGTTAAGATACTGAGGCCAAAGACTGCAGAGCTGACTAGTGATTTTGGGTGCCCAGCTTAAGAGATCTTAAGGGGTTGTACTTTGAAACCAGGCCTCTTAAAGCTGTCTCAGGCCAGGCAGCCACAGGTACACATCTTGGCCTAAGCACCAAATCCGAATGCTACATATAGTTAGCCTGCACATCCCTGTGGACTTGCACAGCTTCACCCCAGGGCAGCATAACAGCAGGATCACAGAGTCATAGACAATGAGGGTTGAAGGGACCTCAGGAGGTCACATCTAGTCCAGCCCCCTGCTCCAAGCAGGACCAGCCCCAACTAGATCATCCCAGCCAAGGCTTTGTCAAGCTGGGTCTTAAAAATCTCCAAGGATGGAGCTTCCACCACCTCTCTGGGTAATCTGTTCCAGTGCTTTATTACCCTACTCATGACAGAGTTTTTCCTAATATCCAAGCTAAACTTTCCTCGCTGCAACTTGGGCCCATTGCTGCTTGTTCTGTCATCTGCCATCACTGAGAACAGTCCGGCTCCAGCCTCTTTGCAACCCCCCTGCAGGGAGTTGAAGGCTGCTATTAAATCCCTCCTCAGTCTTCTCTTCTCCAGACTAAATAAGCCCATTTCCTTCAGCCTCTCCCCATAAGGCATGTCCCCCAGCCCCTGAACCATTTTCATTGCCCTCTGCTGGACTCTCCAATTTATCCACATCAGTTGAGGTCAGAAGGATTTCAAGGACATGGTCATGAGCATTAGGTTTCTTTAGAGAGATTGTTTCAGGGCAGAGAAGAGCTGGGGTTGGCCACGGCCATTCACTTTGGAAAACAAGCCAGCTCCACAGCCGAACAATTTGTGTCTGCTGGCAATAATTGCCACTTCATTAAATTAAGCTGAATCACATCTGGTGCCTGGCACCTTTGGAATACACCCAACATGCCAGATTGAATGAGCGGTACCAGGAGACTTCAGGGACTGCTAAATGAATACAGTATGGCGAGATGCCACTGAAATAAGGGGAGACGCACAGGCACGGGTGCAGGCCACTGTACTGACCCAGCATGCCGGGCAAGTACAGGTGGCTAGTGATGCAGATGGACCATGCTACAGCAGAGAAAGGAGGCCAGGTCAATCTAGCAAGAGGCAGGCAATATCTTAGGGACAGAGTCAAGGGGCTGGCAGCTTTCACAGTCTAGCCTATCATTTGAGATGCTTCCTGGCTTAAAAAGTCTTACTGCGATACAGACTTCCACGTGGCGGGCAGAAGGGCTGTGTACTCACACGTCGCTCTGATGGGTGTATATTCTGTCGAACAAGGCCTCTGGAGCCATCCACTTTACTGGCAGGCGACCCTGGAGTGAAAGAAAGTGCCTCACATCAGCACAACCCACGGGAGGGGAGCATGACTGATGGGGGGTCCCACCCCGCAGGACTCGATCCAGCCTGGGGCACAGGTATTGGGGAGTCAGAAGACCTGGTCAGGTACCAAATGTCTGGTTAAGATGGACCTTTGGCAATGCCCCATGCCTTCCAGAGCCAATGCAACTGCCCTGAGCTGGGGGGAGGACACGGCAAATGCTGCTTAGGAAGCAGGCAGCTGTTCGCTGTGAAGAGCAAAGAAACCCCTTGCAAGGGGGGACCTCTTCCTACTTACAGGGCAGCCAGGGCTCAGAGACCACAATTTTGCTACAAACGCTGCCTTGGAAGGTCTCCAGCCAAAGTCCTGGCAAAGCCCATAGGAAAACCCATCACCCCCAATGCCAAGCATGAACACGGTCCTCGTGTCCTGCTGCGCCACTCACGTTAGTTGTTTTCTTGTAGTAATCAATGTGGTGGATGTCCCGGGCCAGCCCGAAGTCTGCAATCTTCATCACATTGTCTTCTGTCACCAGGACATTCCTGGCAGCCAGGTCCCTGTGAATGCACTGAGGAGAGCACGGGGCTCGTGAGTGAGACTGTACTCTGCCCAGGTCCAGCCCCTGCCGCCACAGCCGGCGGATTAGCAATGAATGGCCCCAAGTTCAGCTCCGGCTGGCCTCCAAAGGGCTCCTGCTAGGATCCCAGAGGAGGAACCCATAAGTTGTGAGGGGGGCTGGCTGCAAAGCCCTGACGTGTACCCAGCCGAAGCAAGAGAGGTTGTGCATTTATTCCAGGCCAGCACAAAGGGGCTGCAGGTGTGAGCTCTGGGAGAGTCACTCCTGCCCCCCCAGGACCTAGACTGGGAGCTCCAGATCCTTGCCCTCGGGCCGCAATTCAGGGCAGGGCTCTACCGCTGGGGGTGGTTCAGATGGGGACTCAATCACGGAGCCCTGAGCCTGCCAGACCCTGAAGCCTGTGGCCTCCCCTGCCTGATGGGGCTCTGGTTTGACTGCTGCTCCAGCGAGGGGATGTGGGAGCCGCTCACCTTTTTGGAAGCCAGGTACTCCATCCCCCTGGCGACCTGGTAGGCACAGGATACCAGGTCCTTGAAGGAGAGCTGCTCCTCGGGGATGCGAGAGGGGTTGTAGCAGTACTCCATGCCGGGGGGCCGCCGCGCCTGCAGGTACTCCCGCAGGTTGCCTTTGGACGCATACTCCACAATCACGTACAGCGGACCTGGGGCAAAGGAAGGAATTAAATCCTTTTCTCCTTTCCATTGGTGTTTTCCCCCTCCTACCGCCCCACGCCCATCCACCACATTGTCTCCGGCCAAGTGGAGAGGCAGGTGCCTGGGCTTTCACTCACGCGTGCAGCACTCACCGTCCTGCGTGCAGGCTCCCAGGAGGTTGATGATGTTCTTGTGCTTGCCGATCATCTTCATCATCTCCATCTCTGAGATGAGGTCCGAGAGATCCTTCTCCGTGGCATCCGCTGAGAGAATGGAGAGAGGTCAGGTCACATGGGGTTGGGGCAGCTAGGATGAGCCAGGCACCTCTGAGCCTGCAGGCTCTGTGGCCTGACTACTCCTTTGCTACACAGGACCCTTCTCACAGTGGTGCTGGGAGCCCCATCCCAGGCACTGGAGCCAGTAAGCACACATACTGCCTCTTCCATAAGCACAAGAGGGAACCAGGCTCTTGCTAGGCTGAGGCAGACACACATTTGGGCAGGTCCTCAAGGGGCTGACAGCAACCACTTACACTTGAGCATCTTCACTGCCACTTTAGTCACTCGGTTTGGCTTGTCCTTGTCCAGGCCAATGGCTTCAGCCAGAACCACCTGCCCGAAGCAGCCTTCCCCCAGCGGCTTCCCCAGGATCAGCCTGGAAGGGAGGAGGGAGGCAGTTATAACAGGGGGCAAAGGAGGTACAGCTAGGGACAGCGAAACTTGGGTTGCCAGACCCTAGAGAAAGAGACTCACCTGTCCCTAGGCAGCTCCCAGCGAGGGTCTTCGGGCAGTTCGTATTCAGAAACGCCTGCCAGCATGGGGGTCCCGCTGGAGGAGAGCCGTGAGGGCCGGACAAGCATCACGCCCGAGTTCATGGAGGAGCTGGAGTCTGCAGACACCTGCAGCAGAGAGCCCGGGACAGTGGGTTACCTTCAGGAAGCACCTGGGGTGGGGGCATGTGCAGGGATAGAGGGAGCTGCTCTGGGGGCCTCCCTGGGGTACGGAGGCTGCTGCAGGCGCAGTGACGCAGTGCCCTGGTCCAGCCCGCCCTCAGCACTGCTGTCCCCCAGCTACAGGCGTGGGAGCCAATGCGCAGAGAAGGGAGGTGACCTGTCAAAGGCAGCAGTCAGGGAGGGGGACCCAGGAGTCACGAACCTCATTTCCCAACTCCATCCAAATGTTTACCACGGCTTCCTTCCACTGCAGAATGGATGAGCACGCACACACATGCATGCACATGTACCCATGTGCACACACTCTCCTCCCTTCCCTTCCCCTCCAGGTGTGTCAGCTGTCAGTGGGACCCAGTCCTAGCGCCTTGGGCCTGACCCCTCAGTCTGTGCCGCGCACAACGCCATCTCAAGCATGTGTTTGATTCCTGCTCGCAACAGCTCCTTCCCGAGTGCCACAGAGCCTGGGCATGGCTCTCCCTGCAAAGAAGGGGCTTTCCCTGCAATGAAGGTGACCCCGTCCAGGAACAGCCCAAGGGGCAGGGCAGGAGGGAGCTGTCTCCTGGACTGTAAGGAGCATGCCTGTGCTGTGGGGCTGAGAAAAGGATGGGGGTGTCCAGGGATACCCCCTGGGCTGGCTGACAGCGGGAGGAGCTGCCCCTGCTCCTGCTGCGCTGGGATGGAGGGGACTGAATTGTTTGTAGTTGATATCCTCTGTGTGGGTGTCACATAAACAGCCCAGGGAGCCCAACCGTCTCTTTCTGCGAGGTACACTCCCTTGCTCCTCTGTTAAATCCTGCAAGCCCATCCTGATCCCATTACCCTTAGCAACCTGCCATAAAAGTCAAGGGGACGCAGGGAGCCTCAGACCAAGGCTCTCCCAGCTCCGTACAGAAACCGCCTCTCCCTCCCTCTCCCCAGCCTTCCCATCCAGAGGCTCACAGGCTTGGCACTGGAAGGCCAGCCAGCACCATTAATCCTCAGGCTGTTAGGAGGAAACTGAGGCACAGAGAGGGGAAAGTTGCATTGGTCACACTGCAGTGTGGATGGATGTCCCCTGTGGGCTGAAATCAGCCAGACCCAAAAGCTCTGGTCGGGTTTGACAGGGAAACGGATAACATGTTCTTGACGGTGCCTGCAGAAAAGCAGCTGCAGCTGCATCGGCCCTCTGACCTGTGCAAATGTAAACAGGGCCAAGGGCCAGGGCAGCTGTGTGGGGCAGGGGGAGGTGGTAGGTGCAAGCAAACCCCCTATCTACTTTCTGTTACCTGTCTGCGCAGTGGGATGCTCTTGGCCAGCTTGTGCACGGCCAGCTGGCTGTTGAAGTCGGTCTTCTTGGTGGTGCTCTTCATCTTGTAGATGATGACAGTCACCACCATACAGGAGATAAGGAAGGCCCCTGTGCAGTAAATGATGATCTCCAGGTACACGGGTGAGGTCATCAAGGCTGGCTTTTCTTCCATGGCTGGGTCAGCGTGAACAAGGCATTAGCAGGGCACAGCCTCTCAGGGCAGTGTTAAGCAAGGAGGGGTGCGACACTGGCTCCTGGAGGGTGGGATGAGGCACAACCCTCCCAGGCGCCCACCCTCGCTAGCTCTGCAGGTGAGCCCGTGCCGGGCATCAGCTATCCAGGGGTCTGAGCCCTCCCTACAGAGGGTCATAAATGCAGCCCAGCATACGCCAGGAACCAGCAGCAGCCAGGCAGCTCCCTCCAACCCTCCCACGCCTATGTGTGGCCGTGCTGGCGAGCCATGCTGTTTCTTGGTCAGATGCAGCTTTCCCTTCCCTCGGTGCCAAGCACAGCCTTACAGAGAAGCACGCACAAGACCTCCCCCCACAGGGATGTAGGTTGGTGGGAGACAGCTGCTCAAGGGCTCTGGGCCAGCACGGAGGGGTCTGGGGCCAACACAGCCGGGCTGCAGCCAGAGAGGATGTGAATGCAGGGCCAGGACCCTGGGAGAACGTGGGCACGGGGCTGGCACCTGCTGCTAGGCGCAGGGCTGGGCAAGAGTGACAGGTGACAGGTGGGGGACTTGCTGGGGCTCTCCGGCTAGGGAGCAGGGGAGGCCAGGCTGGGCCTGGCACCAATTCCCCGCTGTTGGGGCGATACCTGCTCTGTTTCAACCACTGCCAAGGGGCAAGGTCTGCACGTACAGTGTGAGCTCTCTGCTTGGAGCACGGGGGCCTGGTCCCTTCCTTTCTCCATGCCTAGAGGACGAGCCAGACACGGAGGGGCTGCAGGATTTCCTTCCCCAGTTGTCCCTGATCTGCTCTGAATGAGGGCTGCAGACTGCTGGGGACAGTCACTGGGAAGAGCCACGAGACAAGGAGGAGAGGCAAAAATAGCTCCCTGTCCTTGCGAGACAGAGAGCAATGTAAGAAGGAATCACAGCTATTAAAAATAAATTGCCCGCAGGACTTGGGGATTTAAAAAGCAATTATGTGCAGCACCTTCCATAGAGATCCTTTGCATCAGGAGACCAAAGCTGGGCCATGGGGCCTTGCCTCCCTTCCAAAGAGCCTAGGGATTCTCCGCTTTACTTGCAAACCAGCAGCCCACCTGCAGGCGCGTGGCCTGGCTGTTCACACAGAGCCATAGACCAGTCAGAGACAATGCTGGTGCTGCAGCTGAGCACAGTGCCTAGACAGACCCCCCACCCCAAGCCTCCCTCTCCCAAAAGAATGGAGAGCCTTGGAGAAAGGCATCAGAGGGAGCCCCCATCCCTTGTGCCAGCCCCACTGGCGAGAAGCAGGCACTGAAGAGGCCAGGCCTGACAAGGGAGGAGGAGTTGATAACCCAGAAGGTTTTTGTACAAAGGCACCACCATGCCGGCTCCAAAAACTCTCTGTTGCTGCCAGTTATCAGACCCTTGTCAGGGGCATTGATGGCCCACGATCGGTAGTGGCATCAACGTGGCGTGCCCAAGTGCACCCATGCTGAAGCAGCAGCTCCCGCCCGCAGCAGGCACATGCAGAGAAACCGTGCGGCAGCCGTCCCCCTGAGGCCTGCAAGCACCCCGGGGCTGGGCTCCATTCCTCCAGGGCAGGGCCAGGGCTGCGCCTCCTGGGAGTGCATGAATGCATGCTTGTGTGTGCTGGTGCATGCAGCGGGGGGCCTGAGTCTGCAGCTGCAGCAGCACCTCCCGCACTAAGCTGAGTTTGTGATTTTTGCCCACAGGTGCTGCATTCGCTGCCTCTCCAAGAATCCCAGCCCCTTCTGGACTAGCTGCCAGGGACTCCTTCCAATGGCAGGCCTGTGGCAGGGGGGGACAGTCACCTGTGGACAGCTGTCTGCTGGGTTTTGGTCTCCATTTAACCTCTTGCCACAGCACTTCCAGGGCAGCCAGAGGCATAGCTGCTTCCCAGTGCTGCTCAGAGCATCATGGAGATGGGAGCCAATCTTTTATTAAGCTCACCAGGCTGAGGTCTCAGCTCTGTGTTCAGCTTGGGGCTGTATGGGGTGGGAGTAGCAAGCTGGATGCTGGCTTTGCCCAAGTGAATGGAAGTGCCCATTTCAAATCTGACTGAGCCACTGGTTAAACTGGACCTTTGATATATGCATTGCCCGGCCAGGGAGAGAGCCAGTAGGTGCAGCCACCCACTGCAGACCATCCTGAAGGTGGTGAGGTGGAAGGGGTCAGGTGCAAGTGGAGCAAGTGAACCCCACTTGGACAGCCAGGCCCAGGGACAACATTACATTTGATCCCACTGACCCCCAGAAGATGATGCCTGGGCAACTCATGCTGGAGTGCTGAATCCCAGTTGGTTCTTTACAGCGAGGGACTCAGAGTGTTGCCCTCGCTGAAAAAGCCAGGTGTGGAGGTAGGGGTAGAGGGGGAGGCAGCTGTGTGCTGCTCCCCAGCACGGAGAAGGTTTCCTGGGCTCTCTCCTAGGCCTCAATGCATATTGGATCCAGTACGGAAGCAAGGAGGGAAAGGGACAGTGGAAGAAGCCGTATATACCTTCGAGAACTGTCAACCATGCAGAGTGGTGGGAGATCCCAATAGAGTTACCCGCCAAACATGTATACTCCCCAGCATCCTCAAATGAGACATTCCTTAAGTGAAGGACTTCCATTTCTTTGTCTGTTGTGTTAACTCCAGCCGTCTAGAAAGGAAAATGGAAGCAAAAAACGGACAAGCAAACCACATGAGATCTTCTAAGAACCAAGGTGGAGCAGGGGGAGTGAGGTGCCCTGGTGTCTCATTTGCCAGACACCTGGGTAGCAGAGAGAAACCACCGTAGACCTGTTAAAGAGAACCCTTAGGACGACCTCTTTTCAGGCTGGCCTAAGGAGATGTTGGTTAAAACCCTTCACCAAACGGAGTTTCTTGCCCATCTGAACATGCTGGTGATGGGCTGCATGGAAAAATGGACCTCAGACAGCAGAGACTGGCTTAGTTTCATGAGGCTGGGGATGAGAAGGGGCTGGAGGGGATGGAAAAGGGCATGGAGTGAAAGAATGGCCAGGGGGGTGACACAGGAGGACAGGACACTGTATTGTCTCCTAAGCACAGTCAGATACGGTGCACAAGTCTAGGTTTGAAACGGGGCAAACGAGCAAAACCAGGTCGAAATTTCCATATTTATATACATATGTATGTATTTTGGAGGAGCGATAACTTAGTAAAGCCCCCCCGCCCAGACTCAGCTGTGCCAGGAAAAGCACAGTGGGAGTGAAAGGGGACAGCCGGGGTCTGAGCAGCAGGATGCAGGAGTGGTTGAGATGCACCTATCGCATGTGTTTCATTAATACAGTGGGAGAGAGGAGGGAGGAAATGTCCAGGAGGGGAAGACAAACAAGAGCACAAAACGAAGCCAGTCGCTCTGAGGATTTTTCCATGGCTGTTGGCACCAGAAATACAGCAGAAACAAGAGAGCCCAGAGTTTTGTTTTCCACCAGGAGGGACTGACTGTCCAAGTAAAATCCCAGTCAGTGTTCTTCAGTTTACCTTTTGCCATGGGTCTGGTGACAGTGAGCCACGCAGACTGGTTAGCCTCGCCAATATAATTGGAAACCTTACAAACATACTCCCCGCTCTCGGCCTCTGTCACATTATACAGGGTCAGCACCTCCGCATCAGAGCTATTAATTCCCGAGTGCTAGAACAAACCAACAACACAGGAGTCACATTGAGATGGTCGGACATGGTAGCCCCCTGAACAACAGCAATCGCATCGCCCGTGCCTTGGCCTTGGCAGAGGGCAAGTGGGCAACTGGTTCAGACCCTCTGCTCTGCTCCCCTAGTCAGGGCATCTGTGTGCAGGAGCACGAGTGTCTCGCATGCAGCTCCAAGGGGCCTGCGACACGAGGGAAGGTGGATGGTGAGTCTGCAGGTTACAGTGAATCGGGGCCCCTGAGCATTCAGTCACCGGAGGAGTTAGTCTGAGACCCTGCAACCCCCTACCCGCTGTTTGAATGAACCAAGGAGCCCCGCCTCTGACTTGGATAAATGCACACGCCTTGCTTGATAGGGAACAGATTTCCAAGTAGGGCACTTGGGTGGCCATAAAACCCCCTGGGTAAAAGGACGCAGTTGGTCTGTTCAAGAGGCACGGACTGGTGACACTGCAGAGAGGCCAGAAGGCAGGGGTGATTTACCATCATCATGTGTGCCTGTGTTTTTTGCATGGGTTATTTTTAAAACAATCCTGGGGTGAACTGGTGTGACCCTCTCCCAGCTGGGCGCCTCTCGTAGCATACAGAGCAAGGACTGCAGGTCCTCCCTAGCAGCCTAGTCCCTGCCATTTAGGACAACCCCGGACCTCACCCCCACCCTCCAGTTGGGTGCTTCAGAGGGCAATGCAAAGCCATTTTCTGCTGGAGACCAGTGCCTGCCTGGCCCAGCTCTGTCATGACCCTAATAGCATGGAGGAGAGGACCAACAGGACCACCTGTCGTGCCTCAGCTCAGCTGCTCAGGAAACTGGCAGCTAGCCCAGGTACAGTGGAAGCAGACATCAATCCCCTGCCCGCTGCTGAAGCACTGGTTTCCACCCTAAACGGCCTCCTTCCCTGACTGGTTTCCACCTTGCTGGCCCAATCCCCGGACGCCCCGCCACAGCCATGACAAGAAGCCAAACCAACCCACCCAACACGAAGCCTCACCTTCAGGATCTGGACATAGGGCAGGTTATCAGGCCCAATCTTGCTGCCATTGACCTCGATGTGCTTCAGCCACTGGATGTGGGGCTGGGGGTCACTGTAAACCTTGCACACAAACTCCACATTGCTGCCCAGAGCCACTGTCTTATTTGCGGGGAGCCCGGCTTGGAGGATGGGTCGGTGAGGGGACCTCTCTGGAAGAGATGGCAAGGCAGAGGATGAGGGCAGAGCAGACAACTAGTCCAGCGAGTGAGTGAGGGGCAGCTCGGCCCCTGCCCTCAGGTTCTCATGGCCACACTTTCTAGGTGAAAGCACTGTGTGCATGCCACTGCTTCATGAGCAATCCTGCCTGAGGACCCCCGTGGAAGCCTTGTCTCGGCATGTCTTTGGGCGCTTCTGTGTCCACCTCCTGTCCTGCCCCAGACTTGTCCTTCCCACAGCATGCAAAACACTTCTCCCAGGACAGCTACAGAGCTCAGGGAGCAGAAAGCACCTTCTGGGCAAGCACTGTGCAGGCAGAGGCACTGGGTATCGCTCCTCCAGCCCTGCTAGCTTGGACTTCCTTGGTTCTGGGCTACTGGTTGAAGCAGGTCATTTAAATCTAAAGCTGGGAGACGTGCCAGAGCTGCCACAAAATCAGCTACGGCCCTAGCTACTGGTTTTGCATGGGAGGCGTTCAGAGGCTGAGGTGACGGGCGGCAGTATAAAACCCTACAACAGGCAGGCAGAGCAGATGCACACAGGGTTGCAGGACCAGAGGGTCACTCTGAGCCCTGGGAGCTGCACGATCTCTGATCTCATGCTGTGGACAACTTCTCTGAGCAAGACCCTAAAAGCACAGCCACTTTTCTGATCTGGGGGAACAGAGTTGGCGCAGCCCCCGTGAGCAGCCCTGGACCTCTAGCAAGCACAGCTATGCGGGCTGGGCCCTTGCCCAGCTGCCCCTGCTCCGAACAGCCAGGCTTGCACAAGAGAGGGATGAAAAGTGAGCGTAGCTCCCCAAAAACAAAGAGAATGAGGCAGGCGGCTGCTGCGAGGAAAGGTCCCATTGCTGGCCACTACCTTCACATCTTTGCTTGGGACGTGACAAAGCCGGGATTAAGGAGTTACTTTTCCATTGCCAGAGGCCGGGGCCAAGATCTTTTTCATCCCAGCCAGTCGCTTATTAAAAATCCGAGGGGAAGGCTTCCGCAGCTGCCTTCCCTGCTAATCCCTCTCACCGAGCGACCCCCTGCATCCCCCCATCATACTCATTTCCTGGAGCCGGTGTCACAGGGCTGGTGCTTCCCCTGCCAAGGGCTCCCCTCACCTCATGCTCACCTGCGCCTTGAATTACATGGCAGGCTTTCTGCCCCTCCACTCCTGCTTCCTGCCCTGAGAGGTACAACCAGGGCTGGTCTGAGGGGGAAGCCAGAGCCCAAATAACTGCTTTTACTGGGCTGGAAAAGGAGCATGCAGCTGACGGGTCTAGAGGGGGCTGCCAGCAAAAAGCCTGGAGTTCCTTCCAGAGAGGGAGAAAAGCCTGGCGCTCCTTCCCAGACATCTCGCTCTCTGGTAGGATACTCACTCTGCCCAGTCCCATGGAGCCGGGGCTTCCCCCCGCGCTGCAGAGTGAAGCTACCCGGGTGCAGAGGAGCATCTCAGATGGAGACAGGGGCCATAAAGTGTGCTGCGCAGTGGAGCTTCATGGAGGGGATGGCGCAGGGCTCTTCTTCCGGCCCCTGCAAGCTGCTGGCCTGGCTCCTACATGCCACAAGCATGAACGAGAAGCGTGGCTGCATCGGAGGCCTGCTCCTTGCACCCGCACACCTTCTCATGTGCGAATTGCACTCTCCCCGCTGCAGACCTCGGCCCCGCATGGACATCCGCGAGGCGGCCTCGGAGAAGGCAATCCTTCCCCTCCCTCTTGCAGGGTGGTGGCACCGAGGAGGTGGACCCTGACGAGCAGCGAGCACGCTGGCATCCGGGACCCCTTCTTGCCTTGGTAGCCTGCCCCAGGGGACCGTGTGCCAGCTCACAGTCCTGCGGCAGAGACCTCCCCTCCATTGCAGGAGAGCCTTCCCCCTCCAAGCATTCCTGGGCCTGAAGCCAAGCAAGTGATTAAGTGACAGACCAAAACAGGAGCCCCCCTCCCCATTTGCCCCGTGGCCCATCAGGAGCAGGAGCGGGGAGGGAGGAGCACGGCTGCAGCCAAGTAAGGCTGTTTCCGGCTGGAATAGCCATCAGTTCGCTCCCCGTCGGATGGGGCCAGCTCAGCCCCCTCGGCACAAACAAACCGAGTGTCTGGAGCAGGGGAGGGGGCACGGACAGGTGAAATTCTTCTCCCGAAACTAAGGGGAGGGGGCTAAACATGGCTACCTATTCATCTGAGGTCAAAGGTCAAACAAACCTAATGAGGGCCTAGCCCGTTAACAAAGAGCCTGCCACTGTGGTGAGTGAGCATTAACAAACCCCTTTGTTCCCCTGGCTGACGATTCCCTTCAGTTTGCTCAGTGTAATCAAATTAAATCACATTTTTAATGGTTCATTTACTGGCATTTAGAACAACTCCACATGTGGAACTGCTCAGGCCGGCCTTCCCAGCTGGGAACGGCAGCTAATAAGGTGATTAAAAAAAAAAAAATGTTTCTGTCTGGCCCGCAAAATTATTCCAACTAAAATGACTAAATAAAATTGAAAAAAAAAAAGAAGAAAAAAAGCAAATGCCAGCTTTGACGCAAACCTTTCAGGTTTGTCTTCTCTGGGGGGGAAGCTGGGCTGAGATGAGACCAAAAAAAAGACGGGTCTAATTAGAGCCTGAGCAAGAGGGAAAACAACATCCACCGTCTGCTGAGGTGCCCGTGCTGTTCACAGCACGGTGGTATCCGAGTGCCCCCTGCTAACCGCAGCTCCACAAACAAGCTCTCTTGCCCACCTGCAGGCGGGGAAAATGGAGGAGGCACGAGATTGCATTTTGCCCTGTGTCCCTGGGTGTGTATTTGCACACATGCACACAAGGAGCTTTGAGAAGGGAAGCCGGGGTGAAGGAAAGGGCTTTGCATTGGGCTCGAGCACAGGGAGGCTCCTGGCCATTGTTCGCTGGCCTGAATAGGACAAGGCAGTGTTCCCGATATGCCTGGGAAGGAAACCGAAATACAGCAGGTGCTGAGTGAGGCATTGGGGGCTGGCTCCATGCACAGCACTGGTGCTGAGCTCAGAGATAGCTCCTTGCCGTGCTTTTTTACAACGCTCCCATGAGATCCAGCTTCTCAGGGCCGGAGACAGCCAGAAGAGACCAGCATCAGACACGAAGAATGGTGCAGAATAGCGCCAGGGTCGGACATGGCCTTGTAACCAGCTGAGGCCTCACCTGAGTGGAGCAGTGGACTGCGACCTACTCGCAGGAACCAAAGAGACCCTCTGCTCCAGTTCTCCCCGAAGGCAGTGATGCTGGAGGGCTAAGGGGAGTGAGGGCAAAGAAAACGGAAACCACTGCAAGCAAAACTGGAAAGGCCTGGAAATTCACACCACCTGGAGGGACTGGTTCTTCCCCACCTCAAGCCAGGGTGGTCACGAATGAACGGAGAAGAGCAAATGTAGTATCTGCAGTTCAGAAAGGGGGAAGAAAAGAAATCCAGGCAACCACGAGCCCATAGCCTGACCTCATGAGCTTGCAAGGCTTCAGCGGGAATTCTGATGGGGAAAAAGCAGTAAAAGACACAAAAGTAAACTGAAAACGGAATAACGTGCAATGGGGATTGCCAACAGCAGATCGTGCCAGGCTAAGTGATGCCTGTCTTTGATAAGATAAATGATTTCCTAGACACAGGAAATGCAGTAGATCTAATCTATCAGAGGCCTGAAAAGTACCTGCTATGTTGCCACATGGTTAATTATTAGTTAAACTGGAGGAAATGGGATTAGTGGAAGAACTGCCAGGTGGGTGAAGAATGATTACAGGGGAGATGGCAGCAGAGCATCGAAAGAGGATGTGTCAAGCTGTAAGCAGAGGTCACTGGAGGAGCTCCTAGGGGTAAGCCATGGGAACGAGCCTGCTCGGTAGAAGTTTGGCACAAGAAACAAGAGGGAGTGGGTGAACATGGTTGACGACACGCAGACGGGGAACATTGATTGGGAGATCATGCAGAAAAATGTGGCATCTGGTGCTGCAGCAATAGAAACAGGATGATGTTCAGCAGCTCACGCTACCAGGGAATGTGCAGGGGCTGAACCACCAGCACTTCCATTGCAGGTTGGGAGCTCACCAGCTGCACATGATGGAGGTGGAAAAGACCTCAGCATGCGGGCTGGTCACATTGTGATGCATAGATGTTAGGAGCTGGAAGGGACCTCACAAGATCATCAGGCCCAGCCCCCCTACCCTTGGGATGATGAGGCACCAGTGTGATGTGGCTGTGCAAAAGGAAAATGCCTTCGCTAGAACTATCAGGGGGAGAGGAAAATGCTAGTGCCTTGGTACAATGCAGGGATGAGATCTCAGCTGCAATCCTGGCTACAGCCAGGTCACCTGTGCTCCAGAAAGCTGAAGCGCAGTGGGAACAGGTGCAGGGAGGGGGAACTATGATCATCCAGGGAACGGCAAGCCTGTCTTGTGAGAGAAGGATGGAAGAGACTGGCTTGTTCAGTCTAGGAACAAAGAGGCTGGGAGGGAACAGGACTTCTCCCAATAAATACAGGGAGGAGGGAGCAGAGGTTTTGAAGCTGAAGGACAAGGCTGGTGCAAGAACAAATTGGCATAAATAAAAAAAGCACAGCCTGGAAATCAGATGGCTCCTAACTCCCAAAAAGGCAAGGCTCCAAAACAGCCCCTCCACTAGGGGAAAACCTAACTCCTTGAAGATGGAGCTCAGTGACCAGGATTACACCACGCAGCCGCTTCCAGTTCCTACAATGGCCACTAAACACCCTCAGGCTACTGCAGCTTGAGCCACAAAGCTCAGAGATCCTCACCCGCAGGGCTGGCTGGAGGGATGTGCCTTGCGGGTACTGGTCCTCATTGCGCAAAGCCTGCCTTCCAAATGGGGTCATCGGTGCACGAGCTCGGGTTCCCAGTTGCTGCTGCTTCCTCAGCTTCCAAGTCCGCATGAACACCTCCCCCTGGCCCCCAGCATCCCAGGGAGAGCCCCTGTGACTGCCAAATATGTGCACAGTGACAGCAGGATCCCTGTAGCCAAGAAGCCCCTGATACTGCCAACAGTCTGCAAGCCACAGCACCTGTGCTGTGTGAACAGGAGCACTGGGCAGGGGCTGCCTCTGCTTCTGCCATGGGTCTGACCCCTTTCGTTGGCCCCCCATGGATACACTTTTCCCCCTTCCTAGCCCAACCCGCCTCCACTGTCCTTACCCACTACGTCGAGCTGGTAGGTGTGGTTGATGCTGCCATATCTGTTCTCCACGATGCAGGTGTAGTTGCCTTTATCGGACGGCACCACTGAGTCCATGATGATGCTCCAGGTGGCATACCGAACCTAGGGAGGCCAAGACAAAGCCAGTGCAGTGCGGTTATTATCCAACAGCTCTCACATCTGCTTCTCCTGAGAGCTCAGTCGAGCAGGGCAGGGCACTGGCCAGGTCAGGGCTGCACTGGACAGAACCCATGCCTTCTCCCCCTACAGCATGTCAAACCCATCCCTGACCCCTTGCCCTGTGTCATGGGCAGGGCATGAATATCACTCTGAGGTCACCTTTTCCCTTTGCTTGCAAAAGGCCAGTAATTGTTCCCAGCTGTCCCAGGCTGGGCTGGCCACAGAGACAGCTGCATCTGGAAACAGATGTCGTCCACTGAGTATGGTGGGCGCAGCCTGCCCCCAACCAGCCCAGCATGGCCCTTTTCTCTTCTAACATGGCAGGAGCAGAGCTACCCTGCTCTAAGGCATCCAGCACCCCCCAAACAGGCTGTTCCAGCCAGCACTACTAGCCAGGAGGCCTCTGCCCCCCAGCTCCTGCACTGCATACATTGGAGTCCAGCGGTCCCAGGGCAGAAGTCAGGATATCCAGGGAGCAGAATTGGATGCCATGCAATTCCAGAGGGCTTGTGGGATGAAATCTGAACCATCCACCCACAGGAGGCTAAACCAGACAGCTCCCACGCTGTCCTGGGCCTTTGGCCCTGGCCATTCCAACTCTGAAAAGCCCGCTGCTCCCTCACACCTGAGACAGGTGACTCTGAGCAGCGAGTTCCCCCCGAGCTGTAATGAATGCGAGGATGTAATAAATGGAGCAGAGAGTCGTGACGTGGCTGAACTCCTGCTGTCTGTCCCTGGCAACTCACTAGACCTTGACGGGACACAGGCCAATGGCTGGATCTCATTTGTGCAATAAAATGCATGAGTCAGATGCTGGTGAATAATCCAGCCCTGCTCACTGACGGAGTGTGGAGCAGAGAGCTGACTCAGACCGCCTCTGCAGCAGGATGGGGACGGGGTCTCCCTGGAGATCTGTGGCTCTTAATCACGGGCAGAGGAATCTCACTACCTGAGGCAGTGGTGGCTGTGGCCTGGGTCTGATCCAGCCACATGGTGCTCCCTGCACCTGACCCTGATTCCTGTCTGACTGGTGGAGTCACCGAGTGGGACCTCCCGCTACCAGGAGCTGACATAGGAGGGGGTCCCACGGTCGCTCAGATGCAGGAGGTTAAACCCAGCTACGGTTAAGAACTCCTCGTCCCCACCCATGGCAGCACCCATGTGGTTGGGCTGGTCTGCACTGAACTTGCGGTGCATCAGCAGGCAGCTGTATCACAAAGCAGGCATGCTAAGCCCTTCAGCTGCTCCAAAAGTCCCTCAAGGCCCAATATTCAGGTCACTTCAAGCAGGGGGAAGTCAAAATTAGTGGCTGCAAAAGGCTGTCGGAGAGACGCAGCGTCTCCATGGAGCTCTGTCACACGTAAACGGGAAGGGGTAATTATCTGGAAATGGTGCAGAAACCCCTCCAGATTGGTTTGAAACTCGGGTAATTATCTGATGCGTGAACTGAGCCTCATTAAACCACTATTGATTCCTCCTGAGAGACTCTGGCCAGATGCTCAGGTTTCGGAGAAGGAGGAGGAAGAAGGACAGAGTTTCCCTGAAGACGCTCTGAAAGGCGTCCTGCTGATGCAGGGGTCTGGGCCACGGAGCAGAGAAGGCCGTGCTGCCCTGCTGAATCTCTCAGCACCTCCTGTTCTCCTGGCAGCTCGGGAGAGGTGGTCCAAAACCCAAGGACAGTGCTGCAGCAGCAGCAACTGCTGTGTTGCCTTGGGCACTGTCATGGGTGCAGCCAGGTGATTTTCCTGCCTGTTCAGAGCTCAAAAACAAGGGAGAAAGGGTGCCCCAGAAAGCACAGGGTGACTCTGCCAGTCAGGGCAGCTCCATGCTAGGTGGGCGACTGCCTGGTACAGTCTCTTTTGGCGACTGGCCGCCCTGGGAGGCTGCTCTGCTGACCCCAGCTCCCCTTCTTGCCACACAGCAATGGCACATAGGAATCAGAGCCCCCAAACGAGATCTGCCCCCGCGCAGCTCCCTATGCACTTGCTCCACATGCCTATTTTTCTCTGCTTCTGGATTCATGGATTCATAGATGCTCAGGTCGGAAGGGACCTCAATGGATCATCGAGTCTGACCCCCTGCCCTGGGCAGGAAAGAGCGCTGGGGTCAGATTGCCCCCAGCCAGATGCCTATCCAGCCTTGTCTTGAAGACCCCCAGGGCAGGGGAGAGCACCACCTCCCTTGGAAGCCCATTCCAGATTTTGGCCACCCTTACCATGAAGTTTTTCCTGATATCCAGCCTAAATCTGCTCTCTGTCAGTTTGTGACCGTTGTTCTTTGTTACCCCAAGAGGCACCCTGGTGAACAGAGCATCTCCAATCCCTTGCTGCGTCCCTCTAATGAATTTGTAGGTGGCCACAAGATCACCTCTCGGCCTTCTCTTGCAGAGGCTGAAGAGGTCCAGGTCCCTCAGTCTCTCCACATAGGGCTCGGCCTGTAAGCCCCTAACCACACGAGTGGCCTCCTCTGGACCCTCTCGAGGTTATCCACATCCTTCTTGAAGTGCAGCGCCCAAAACTGGACACGGTACTCCAACAGCGGTCTGACCAATGCCGCATAGAGGGGAAGTACCACCTCCTCGGATCTATTTATCATGCATCTACTGATGCACGATAACATGCAGTTAGCTTTGCTGATGATTTCGTCATGCTGACGACTCATGTTCATCTTGGAGTTCACTATACTGCTGTCCACTTCTGTGCTGCTGAGAGGGTCACTTCCCAGCCAGTAGGTGGGCTGGATATTTTTGCGCCCTAGGTGCAGCACTCTGCACTCGTCCTTGTACTGCATCCTGTTGTGTACTTCCCACTTTTCTAACCTGTCCAGGTCTGCCTGCAATCGTTCCCTACCCTCTGGAGTGTGCACTTCACCCCACAATTTAGTATCATCCACAAACTTGGACTGAGTACACTTCGCACCCACATCCAAGTCACCAATAAAGATATTGAAGAGTACAGGTCCAAGAACTGAACCTTGCGGGACCCCTCTGCCCACATCCTTCCAGGTTGACACCGACACGTCCACCACCACTCTCTGGGTGTGACTGCTAAGCCAATTTACCACCCACCAGACCGTGTAATCATCTATGTCACAGCCTCTTAAATTTATTTATGAGAATGGGATGAGATACCGTATCGAAGGCCTTGCTAAAGTCCAAGAAAACAACATCCACTGCTACTCCTGCGTCTAAGTGTTTTGTGACCCTGTCATAAAACGAAACTAGATTGGTCAGGCATGATCTACCTGCTGCAAATCCAGGCTGGTTTTCCTGCTGCATTATTTGTCCTGCTGGACTCCCACAAATATGATCCTTCATAATCTTTTTAAAGACCTTTCCAAGGTTGGAGGTGAGACTGACTGGGCTATAATTACTCAGCTCCTCCTTCCCCCCCTTCTTGAAAATAGGCACCACATTGGCCCTTTTCCAGTCCTTCGGGACCTGGCCTGAGTGTTACGAGTGCTCGAACAGCCGTGCCAGTGGTTTTGCTATGATACCGGCCAATTCCTTGAGTACCCTCGGATGCAGCTCATCCGGGCCTGCCGACTCGAACGCATCCAGTCCATCCAAGTGACGCCGCACCAAGTCAGCGTTGATGGTTGGTGGGCTGGTGTCCCTCTGATGCCCATCTAAGAACCCATTAGGAGACTTGTCTTGAGCCCTGTTCAGGAACACCGAGGCTAAAAACTCATTGAATAGCTCAGCTTTGTCCCCCCTGCCTGTCACTAATTGCTCCTGCTTGTTCAGTAGGGGTCCTATGCTGCCCTGCGCCTTCCTTTTACTCCCTACATACCTGCATACCATTAAGACTTTTTAATTTGTGTTGCCAGCCTCAGCTCTGTACTTGCTTTGGCTTTTCTAACTGCCTCCCTGCAAGTGCGGGCCAAGGAGCTATACTCCTCCTTGGTAGCTTCCCCCTGCTCCCACTGCCTATATGCCTCTTTTTTGTCCTTAGGCTCCCCTGGATTACCCTGTTTAGCCATGGAAGTTTTTTGGTTCCTTTCCCCCTTTTCCCTCGTACAGGGATATAGTCTCCCTCTGTGCCCAAAGGTTTGTTTCCTTTAGGAACGACCACCCTTCCTGGACTCCCATCTCGCCAATACTCTTCTCCTGCAGTGCGTCACTGAGTACACTCCTGAGCACACTGAAGTTAGCCTTCCTAAAGTCAAGCACTTCCACCCTACTAGTTATCTTACCTACCCTATGCTGTATGGTGAATTCGAATGATTGGTGGCCACTATCCCCAAGGTGACTACAAATCTGCAGCTCCCCTACCAGGTCATCCCCTGTAGCCAACACCAAATCCAGTAAGGCATTGCCCCTAGTGGGATCGTATACCTCCTGCATTAGGTGAAGGTCCTGTACGCAGGTTAAGAACCAATGTGGATGGCTGGATTTGGCTGACTGCTCCTCCCAGCAGTCGTCAGGGTAGTTTAGGTCCCCCATGACAACTATGTCTCTAGACCATACGGCCTCTGACAGCTGCCTCAACAATTCCAAGTCTAGCTCTTCCTCTTGGTGTGGTGGTCTGTAGTAGACCCATACTACCAAGTCCCTTTCTCCTTGACCTCCATGCATCCTAATCCACAATGCCTCAACCCTTTCCTCCTCTGATCCCATTTTGATTGGGGTAGATGTATAATGCTCCTTTACATAGAGAGCAAACCCGCCGCCTTTCCTCTCTACTTTGTCCCTTCTGTACAACCTGTAGCCCTCAATGTGTACCGCCCAGTCATGGGTAGGGTCCCACCAGGTTTCCATTAGCCCCACTAAATCCAAGTTATTATCTGCAAGCAGCAGAGTGAGCTCTTCCTGCTTGTTCCCCATGCTCCTAGCATTAGTATAGAGGCACTTGAGCCCTCCGAATGGTGCCTTTTGTGCCCCCGCTTCTGATGCCCAAAGGGCCCCTTGGTATTTACCTGGGGTGTACTGCTGCATGTCTCGCAGTTTGTAGGTTCTAGACTCTCTCCATCTCCTGCCTCCCCGTCCCCCGTCGTACTTAGTTTAAAGCCCAACGTAGGAGGTCAGCCAACGGATGCAATGCCCTAATGCTCCCTGGCCATCCTGACCCCACGACCATCAAACTCCAAGGGTTGCATGGATAGGACGGCTTTGCAAAGCCATTTAGCTCCAAGCTCTGGGATCCCATCCCACATCGTGTACCCTCCAAAACACTTGGCTGTGCCACGGCCCCTGGGCCTAGCTACAGAGATGAGTACCTTATATCCGCCGATGCGGTGGTCGGGCTTGAACTCCTTGCCGTTCTTCAGCCAGCGCAGCGTGGGGTTGGGTGTCCCACCTGACGGGCACCTGAACTTCACCGTCTTGGCAGCTGGGACTGCATGAAGCTTTTTCTCCATCTTCTCAGGGTATGTCCAGTATGGAGCCACGGCGTCTGGATAGAGATGGGAACTCAGTGTGGGGGCTGGGAGGGGGAACCCCATGGACACTGCAGTAGGCTACGGGCACTCAGTACTCGGCTGCAGAGGCCGTGCGCAGGGCTTTAGCAGCAGGGGCACATTGAGAGCGGGGTGCCTCCCTACCCCCACCCCACGCTCTGGGCCAAGCTGCAGAATGGAGCTCAGTGGCTGTCAAAGGGTGAACACTGAAATGTCCAGGAAAGGGGGAAAGAGGGACCAAGACAGCCCAAGTGGGAGCTCAGACATGCAAGAGCTGTGGCTGCTCCTCTATCAGCTCTCCCCACAGGCCCCCTTAGCTGGAGAGTCTCCCAACGCCCTCCTGCCCCTACAAGGCAGAGGGGCTGCCCCGGGCCTGGCACGTACGGTTCTCCTTGGTGTTGTCGGCCTCCTTCTCCTCGGAGGAGGAGTCATCGTCATCGTCGTCATCCTCCGCCGATGGAAGGGCATCTGGAACAGAAGACACAGGCTCCTGAATTTGACCAGCCCCCGTCCCTGTGTATCCCCTACAGCAGGGACAGCCTGTGTCCCTCCTGCCCTGGCCTGCCCCAGGGGTGAGCTCAGCTGTGAGCCTCCTGTGCCAGCTCCCCTAGGACACCTTACTGAGATGAGGCAGGGACAGGCTGGGACAAGCCCATCCCGGGAGTCTTTGCAGGGCCTGTTCCACCCACCAAAGAGATGCCCAGGGGGCAGCCGGTCTGGGGAAGCCATTCCTCCCCATCACATGCACAGCAAAGCAGGCAGGTACCTGCTAAGACAAGTCCCTCCAGGGCCCAGAGTGGCCCAGAGGAGCCAAACTCAGGAAGGCAGACAGCTAAGAGCTGCGAATAATACAGCTTCTCATCCCCCCACTCTGGGCAGTGCTGGGTAAGGGTGAGACCTGATGCGGAGACTCCTGGAGTGAGAGTTGAGATCCTTCAGGCACGCAGCAACCCCACTGATCAGCAGGGCCATGCCTCCTCTGGGCCCAGGGGAAGGGGTCACGTGGACTGCATAGCCCATCCCCACCCCACCCCTCCATGTCATGCACCACGCTGACAGCGCCCAGCTCACCAGCCATGGGTTTCTGGGCACCCCCAGCCTCTGCTAGGCTTTCTCAGCATGCTTCACAGCTGTTAGGGGCTAGAAGGGACCCTACAGATCATCGGGTCCAGCTTCCCTGCGCTTGGGCATGTCTGAGGCCCTGTTTTCCAAAAAGGGCCGTGACAGTGCCTCCATCCTGGCACGGTGACCCTGCAGGGTATGAGAACTACTGGCGTAGATCACTTCAGTTAGCAAAACGCCATGCCAAACCACGGCTATTGCTAGCCTGGCTGCAGTCCCAGCCCAGGGAGCTTTAATCACAGGGTGGCCTGGGCTGGGTCAGCCAGACCTCTGGCCACTGGGAGGTCATGACCGTGTCCCTTTCCTGGCTAGGTAAACAAGTGACCACCTGTGTCCTCCCGCACACGGTGGTACTGGCCAAGCCTGCCAGAAGGGGAGAGCAGGGTGGGTCACAAAGGAACAGAGGCCGAGCTGAAGGCCGAGTCCCCCAGCTGCTGTGCGGGGCGGGGAGCTGATCTGGCAGCACATCTGAGATGTCCACCATTTGCTTCCAAAATGACCGCTCGCTCCCCCTGCTCCCGCCACTTGCTGACTCTGCTTTGGCAACAGCTGCTCAGGCGCCAGCCGCCCCTCCTCACAACACCGCCCCATTGTTTCAGGGTCAGCTCTCCTGCGGAGGCTGGGTCTCCTGCGATCGCCTCCCGCACGGCTTGTGCCATACGAGGTCTGCACCCCAGGCCCCCGGGGCACCACAGAAGATAGAGCAGAGCAGCCCACGCAATGCGCCGCAGGCCCAGAGAGACCCAGCTGGCTGTCCCTGCATGGAGGACAGCCCCCGGGCTGCCTTCTCCTGCGTGGCCGCGATGGCAAGAGTTAAGACAGGTGCATGGGCACGCAACATGTTCTCAGGTCTCCAGAGGTTTTGAGCCCAGTCAGAAGAGACCACAAGGCAGGCGGAGGTGTCTGTGCTGCTGACCTACCCCTCTTTCCTCCAGGATCCAGCCAGCCCGGCAATGGCTCTGAATTCTTTCACATGCACCTTCCAGCATCCTTTGGCCCTGACTGAGAAACAACCCAGCCAGCGCTGAGGACAGTGAAGGAAAAGGCATCCGCACGGGTAGCTGATTTCATTACCCTTGTGCTCCTCCCGTCACACCACAGGGGGGCTGGCCCCATGGGAGAAGAGGCTGAAGCAACAGATCTGCCCCGTGGGACATCTGCCCATGGGTTGCTGGGGGAAGGGGGCTGCCCAACTCCTAGAGTGACCACGGCAAGGGATCCAGCCCGTTGCTAATGGGCAGCTGTGCAGTCTCAAGGCAAAGAGAATGCATTAGCTTTTGCTGGCACGCCACGTGGCAGCTGGGGCCATGGGCTGGTCGTGAGCAGGGGCTGGTGTTGGCTGCACTTCACTTTGAAAACCTTAGGGCCCTTTGACCTGTGCTTCCAGACTCGCTCCACTCCGCCAGAGCGGAGACACCTGCTCCATATGCATTTGTGCACACACCCAAAGGTGATCTGCACACGCACCCATTGCACAAACGCATCCACACACAGGTTATCTGCTTCCTGCTCTACAGCCAGACAGCTGGGCTGCATCTTCCCTTGGTGCCCAGCCCCAGGGCTGCTACGAACCTGAGACATTAACGGAGAAGTAGGTGGTCTCACTCCCCGAGGGGCTGTTGGTCATGCAGGCATAGAGCCCAGAGTCCTCGGGCACAGCGTCCCTGACCTCTACCTCCTCCCCGGTGATGCGTGTGCGGTTGCTCTCCAACAGCTGGACTCCGTTGCGCACCCAGTTGATGCTCTGGACGTCATCCCGCAGCCGGCAACGCAACTGGAGGAGGTCGCCTGGGTGAGCCGAATACGACTCCACGTCAATTTTCGCTTTGGGCAGAACTGGAAGAGTTAGGAGAGAGAGAGAGAAATAGAGACAGAAGGGAACCATGCTGCGCAGGGGCCTTTATGGGGGTTGGTAGCAAGGGTCCGTGCCCAGCCAGCAATGGGCTGCGGCCAGTCAATCCAGCTGCGGTGCCAGGCATTGCATGAGGGCTGTGGCAGGCCTGAGCTGGAGAGGACAGGGTGCTGAGGAGCATTCAGCCCCTTTGCTAATCTCACCTACCTGTTAGCTTGACAAGCGCAACAGCTGGCAGGCTGGGCAGGCAGCCCGCAGAGCAAGGTGATGGGGGCCGCAGAAGGGAAGAAGAGGCAGAGGTTAAAAGCAATGGCACCAAGATTAGAGCATTTCACTTCCATTTCATAACCCAGACATTTGCAAAGAGTCCGGGCTCGGCATGCGCCCTTTGACCTGTCCCCAAGCACACACAGCGCTGCTGCTGCTGCGGGGGAGATTGGTGACAGCCAGTGTTTTCAAAGGCAGGCAGGACATTTGGAGGCCTAAGCTTAGGCACCTCATGTCAGATGGTTGGGGCTGGAGCTGTCCTGAACAGCAGCCCTCCTTGAGGGGACTCTAGCTGGGTGCCCTGAATTACAGGCCACCTGAAAGCCTTGCCTTGTGCATGTCTCCGTCCCACTCTCCAGCAGCTGAGAATTCCCCACCCACCTCACAGGCCACATGCAGAGGCTACGCTGGGACTGGTCTCCCCTCGCTTGCATT